CACATATAAATCAAGTATAAAAATCAAACAAATATTCATATTTGACCTGATTATAGTTCATAATGTGTGATCAAAACTGGAAGTTTCTGTGATGACTGCCCTTGTACTGTTCACCATGTAAGAACTTATTCACTATGTAAGAACTTGTTCACCATGTAAGAACTTGTTTGTTATGCTTCAGAAGATTGGAGACTGACGAGAATTAGGCTTGGGGTGGATTAATGATTGTACATTGAGCATTGATTGAGTCCCCTATACAGAATTTTATTGTTGTTAACAACCATCTGATCAATAAATATGAGAGATGCCCTCTCAAAAAATAAAAAATAAAATAAATAAATAATGATTTACTGTTATTGAATATAGTAAACAATGATTTACTGTTATTGAATATAATAAATAATGATTTACTGTTATTGAATATAAATCCGTGTATGTTGTCTCGAATCATAAGCAGTATTGTGAAGTAGAAAAGAGATTGACACTCCCGACTTGGGTTTGCCCCTTACCTGGTGTTCTGGAGCCTGTGCTTGGTCCAGGAGCTGAGCTCGGCCCCTTGGTTGCAGCCTGCCATGTGGGGCTCACCCATCTGTGGATATGAGCAAATGAAGCCATGCATGGAAAAGCACTAAGCAAATGCTGGTCATAAGTGAAAGGTTGTCTCCATCATAGGCCCCTCTCTTCCTGAGCCCAAATCTGACCCTCAGCCTGGCCCCCTCACTAAGGCCTATGCCCATATTGCCTGGCAGCTGCATCTGGGAGGTCTCTCCCAGTGCGTCAGGTGAAACCTCAGCCTGGACAAAGGAGGGTTCTTGACTCTGAACAAGAAAGAATGAGCAGGTCGGAAGAGTGTAGGTAAGAAAGGAATTCATTAAAGCAAGAGTAGAAATGAATGGCAGCTGCATTGCAGGCAGCCGAGGGCAGGAGAGTGCAGAGGGAGTCAGAGCTTGGTGAGCTTCCCGGCACAGGGAAGTCTCCCTCACCAGCTCCTGAAGCCAGGGTCACTTGGCATCCCATGTCCGCTTGGATCTGCACAGTGTGGGGGCTAGCCCCTACCACCCCAGGATTTGGGGGAGCTGTGGAGCATGGGATGGAGTGAGATTATGTTCTGAGAACTTCCCAAAGGAGGGAGACGTCCAGGCAGGCTCCTGCAGCTGCAGATTAATCTGGATCACCTAGGCAATGGGAACTTGCGGTCTCAAATATGCGCTCTCAGCAGCCCCTCCTCACTTATCAGGGGTAAAATGGAGACTTGGAAATAGAATGAAATAGCAAAAAGACAAAACGCAGTAAGTTGAGCAGTGAGAAAGCTTTATTTAAAAGTATGCACTTAAAGAAAAGAAAGTGTGGGTGTCCTCAGAGAGGAGACACGCTTAAAGGATGTGAATTCTGTCTTTTTAAGGCTTCCAAGAAGAGGAAAAGGGCAGGGTGGGGGATTGCTGGGTCTTCTGGTCTCATGATGTCTCTGTCTAGTGAAGGACACCATGTCCTCATCCACAGTCAATCCTCTAGATAATTCTGTAAGATAAACTTAACACAAGCCATTTACTGATCCTGTTCTCCAAGACAGTGGTTACCCTCAAGCAGTGGGGACATATCAGTTAAGACTGCCTGCTCTGCCTTCAGATAGGCTGTTGGCAGATTACTAAAGAGTATGTTAGGACTATTACTTCTCAACTCTGTTTTTAAAAATGGAACCTTTGCCTTAAGATGGGGTCCCTCCTGCTCTTATTATACTGTTTATAGCTCAGCATTTTTCATCATAGGCAAGAAAAGTTAATCATGATGCTTGTCCCATGTCCCTGCCTTACTTCATCGGGTGGGTTGGGCACACTGTCAATTTCATCCCAGAAATGCCCTGGGCTCTGTAGTCTCCTCTGCAGGCTCAGGACCTTTTGGTTTCAAATATATAACACAGTGGTTCACCAGTTACCCATATTATTAAATCCTTACCCCATCTAGTGCAGTTACTATCTATCAATGCAGAAAGACATTACAGAATCATTGACTATATTCTCCATGTTGTACTACCATCCCCATGACCAACTTATATTGTGATCACAAATTATTGTCCCTTTTATCCCCCTCACCACTTGTGCACCAATCATTGTCCCTTACTATCCTTCTCCCCCTCCCCCCCCCCCCCCCCCCCCCCCCCACCCCCTTGGTAACCGCTAGTCACTTCTCAGAGGCCATGAGTCTACCCTTGTTTTGTTCCTTCTGGTAAAGGTAACTTTTATATGCACAGGGAAAACAAACAATTTGCTTGACTTACTTTATTGTAGTGGTCTGGAATAGAACCATGTGTCCTTGAGGTAAACCTGGAGACATGCTCTCTCTGTGAGCTTGTGCACAGACACGTGTACCCACACTTGTGTACCTGTATGCTTTCTCGGTGAGTGTGTGCACATACACATGTACACACAGAGGTATACATGCACTCTCTTGGTGAGCATGTGTGCACATACACATGTATGCACATGTTCTCTGGGAGCATATGCACATACACGCATGTATGTACAGGCTCTCTCTTGGTGAGTGCATGCAGACACACGTGTACAAGCTCTTTCTTGGTGGGTGTGTGCATACACACATACATGCATGTACATGCTGTTAGAACATGCCCATGAATGCATATTTATGCTGTGTGCATACACATGCAGGCAAGTACATGCTCTTTGTAAGCGCTGCACACATACATGTGTGCACATTCGGTGAGAGCATGTAAACACGTGTATGTACATGTTCACTCTCCGTGAGCACGTGCACATACACACGCCTGCATGTCTATAAAGCTCTCTCGGTGAGCACGTGCGCACCTACACACATCCCTGTACGTACTGTTCCACAGTGAGCGCGTGCACACACACGTACGTGCACACACGTTTCGGGCTCACCTCAGAAAGTCAGATATCTGGACTTCCTCCCGCTGCACGCGTGTACATTAGCATCCTGCAGGAGCAGCCCTGAAACATTTCCAGTGTCTCCAAGCGCGAGCCTCCCCGGCCCCGCCTTCCCGGGGCCTCTGTCCGGCTGGAAGAAGCGAGCCATCCACCGCCGCACGCGTCGTTCAGGGCCTGTCAGGCCTGCCCCTACACCGCCGCCCACCCCTCGCCCAGCCGCTCCTCCAGCCGCGCTCCAAGATCCCGCCTTGGGCGACAGCAGCGCGTAGGTCCCAGGGACTTGCCCCGCCCAGGCCCCGCCCCCGGCGTGCGGCGGGCTGCGTGCCGGCGCCGGGGGCGTGGCCTGGAGCGCGTCGCCGCGCACCGTGCGGAATCTGCGCCGGCCGTTGGCCGTTGGCGCGGCTTGGCGGTTGTCTTGGAGAAGCAAGATGGCGGCGACAGCGGCTGCAGTGGCTCCTGAGGAGGACATGGAGCTGCGAGACCTGCTGGTGCAGACGCTGGAGAGCAGCGGGGTCCTGAACCGCGTCAAGGTGGGCGGGAGCGGCGGGGCCTGGCCGAGGAGCGGGCCGCGCTCGCGGGCCCGGTGCGGACGGCGGGCGTCGTGCTGCCGCTGGCGGGGCCGGGAGCCGGGGCCGGGCCCTGCACAGCCCTGCGGCCGCGGCGCGAGTGCGCTGCACGAGGTGCGGGCGGGAAAGCGGGGCCGACGCGGCGGGGGCCGGGGAGCGGCAGGGGCGGCGCGGGGCCCGCACCTGCCCGCACCTGTCTGCATCTGCCCCGTACCTGCCCACACCTGCCCCGTACTTGCCCCGCACCTGCCCCGCATCTGCCTGCACCTGCCCCGCACCACCCCGCACCTGTCTGCATGTGCCCCGTACTTGCCCCGTACTTGCCCCGCACTTGCCCCGCACCTGCCCTGTACCTGTCCGCACCTGCCGCGGGCGCGCTCCTCCCCGTCCTCGGCCACGAGGGGGCGGGGAGATGCCACGGCGCTCACACCGCTCGGGCTCCTTGTCACGAAAGGTGTTTTGAAACCGGTTTTGTTTTTCTCCCCTTTTTAAAAACAAGGCTGAACTCCGAGCAGCTGTGTTTTTAGCGCTAGAGGAACAAGAAAAAGTAGAGGTATGAAATGTACAGATTTTAATAAGACCGTATTCATGTGTTGAACATCTCATTACTTAAAAGCCATTCTAAGATGCTACTGCGTGTGCTAGTGTGTGTGACCAGGGATGATTTAAGCTTTAAGGATTTCATTTTATTACTATTGAGAGGCCATCAGAATTACTTTCCTTTTGTGTATATCTTAGAATTTTGGAATCTAAAGTAAGTTAAGGTGCCACAGTAACTCAGAGACTATGTCTTAGGCATCACAGATCCCCTTTTGTAGAGGAAATCCGAAACACAAGGACATAGGAGTCATGGGAAACACAGCCCAGTGTCAGTGCCTTGAGTCCGCTGCAGGATCCTTCAGAGCCTTCCGTACGTCCCCTTGGGGTTATAGGATGCACCTTCTCTCAGAACTATCCCACTGCCCAGTTATTTTAAAATCATGTGATCTTTCTTACTGTCAAGAGTCCAGCGACTTCTCTAAGTGTATTTAGTGTTTTCTTCCTACCCCAAGTCCTACGGACATCCTGAGGAAATATCCTGAAAGTTGTCAACAAGATGGCTCTGTAATCGGGGTCTCCCCTTTCCTCGGTGACAAATCAGTCCCCTTCCCTCACTTCTTCAGACTTAGATGCCTGCTCCTCTTTAGCTTCATGAAGAACTTCAGTTCTTGGCACTTCTGTGTTTTTCTAGGCGTCAGTATTCTGGCTGCCTTTTGTTCTTGACTGACTGAACCCCGTGGTCCATATCTCAGAAACCCTAACTACCTTGTCTTCCAGGCATAGATGGTCCAGGAAGAACCATAATGGTCATTTAATTCTGCAGTTTAGCTTCCTTCCCTCATTGTGTGTATGCATGTACCACTGCAGTTACCTACGCCGGGTTGCTGATGTACCCTAACTGGGGCGTGCCTACCCTACCTCAGCGAGGTCCTCAGCAGGCTGCGTTCTCCTCGTTACTCAACAACTCCTGCTTAGCTTCACTTTAGCGTGCGACCTCACCTGTTTACTTCACTCTTGACAGCTGGTCTTTTCCATCACAGTGAAATCAGAAGCATCAGGTCCTAACTGTTTGTGCACGCCCCCCACCCCCCAATCTCTCACTTACCTCAGAAAAGGATGCCCTGTGTCTGTATTTACTGTACCTTTTTCCTTCCTGCTTTAGCAGAGGAGGAGGTGGCTCTTTGTTATCCCAGAATAGTCACTTTCTTTGGGTGCTGCCTTCCATACACGCTCAGCTTCTCAGTGGTGTGCTGTGTCTCTCGCCTCCCCCTTTCTGGTGGCTTTTCTCTTGAACATGGGAGCACATTTACATTTCTCAGGGAGAAAGCTGTTTTCCTTGACTCATTATTCTGCTTTTAATGCTCTTTTCCCTCCCGCAGCCACGTTTTGAAAGACTGTTTATCTCTTGGACTGCTCCTCATGCTCCAGGTACCTTTATTCCATTAACATCTTGTACTGTCACTGCATCTCAACTACTTCTTATGCAGATGTCAAGCAGACCTTCCTAACTGAGTATGTGGAGTTCTTACCTGTCTAAGTTGCTCTTTGTGGTATCTAACACTCTTAATTCCTCTTTACTTTCTAAAAATCTTCCTTGACTTTTGGGGCCCTTTTCTGTTTCTTTGCTCCTTCTGACCACTCCCTGTCTCTTTAGCATGCTCTATTTCCTGAACACCTCACTGAAACCCTTGGAGGAGTACCCCATGGTGCTCTTTCCACATTCTCTTCCTGGATGACTATAGCCACACCAGTTACCTCTTTGTCACACTGCCTATGAGGCTGACCTTATGTCACCCAAGCAAGAATCTGGAAGTTGCCTAGGCCTTAGTCTTTCCACTTGTCTGGTCATTTGCCAGTGTGTATGTCTGTCAGTTTTGCACCTGAGGTGTTTAAGGTTCTCTGCTGCCCCCTTGCCTATGCTTAGTCATTTCTGTTCAGATTACATCACCCCTTCCTTCTCGCGAGTTTTCTCTGCTGGTGTCCCTTACTATCTTACTCAAGTCCTTTCTTCGCATTTCTCCTGTACTAGCTATTTATAATACACATCTGATCTTGTCCCTCCATTTTCCTTAAATATTTCAGTTGGCACACATCTTAAAATGCCCTAACCAGTGTACCAAGGACCTTTTGATTGTTTTTCCCTCCTATCTTTTGTCATTTTTTTAAAACCAACTTGAGGTATAATTGACCTACAGTAAATTCAAGGTACATAAAATATATATTTGGATACATTTTAACATATTTGTGCAACCATGAAACAAGATAGTGAACATACCCATGACCCTCGAAGTTTCCACAAACCCCTTTGTAACACCTCAACCCCAGGGAACCTGAGCATTTTTAAGAACTATACAGATGGAATGATACAGTGCATTCTTGTTTTTTTTGGTCTGGCTGTATTCATTGAGCATAATGCGTTAGAGATTCACTCATATTGTCATTTGTATCTCTAGTTCATTTTATTCCTGGGTGCTGTATCATATGGGTATACCACAGTTTATCACTTACCTGTTGGTAAACATTTCAGTTTCCAGTTTTCAGCTATTATGATTAAGACTGCTATAAACATTCACATACATGTTCTTGTTTGGATCTGTGCTTTTTCTTCTCTTGAGAAAATACCTACAGGTGGGTTATATGGTAGGGGTACCTTTAACTTTTTAAAGTATTACTAGACTGTTTTTCCGAAGTGATTGCACCATTTTACATTCCCAGTGTATGAGATTGCCTCTCTACTTATAATTCATGTGATCTGTTTAAAGAAGCTTTTTCCAGCATTTTCTAGTATGTTTTCTGTATTTGCTCATATAAACATTTCATGACAAAAATTAGTTGGCCTATGTCCTACATAAAATCATCTCACATACTATTAATGAACTGGAAATTGCAAGTGTATATAACCAAGTCCTGTTCATAGTAAGTGTGCTGTGTAAAATGGTAGATATCTAAGATGACAAAATAGTGAATTTCATGTACTTGAAATAATGAAGTTTTTGTAAGTTTAATGTTATTTGACATGAGTATTTGAAGGTCTGGTTTCTAAAGCAGTTTAATAAGCAATTTATAAAACATTTAAAAATAATACATACAAATCTCAATCTATAGTGTCTTATTAACTTTGAGATATTAAATAGTGCAAAGCAATTTCTGTAGTAATCGATAGTTGTGGAATGAGTTTAACCAGCATTTTATGACTCACAATATTTTACTTACATCTTTGCCAAAAAATTAAACTTTAATCCACATTTTGTAGTTGTTCTTAGAATTGGACACATGACACTTACAATGTTTCTTTTTTTAACAGAACAAAACTCCTTTAGTCAATGAGAGCCTGAAAAAGTTTTTAAATACGAAAGATGGTAAGATGCTCTGCTTCTGCTTGGTTATTTTGTCTGAATTTCAAAGCTTGACTCCATTTAGGAGAAATCAGCAATTTCAGATAATTTTTTGAAGCTGGATTCTTATAGGTTCTCATTTCATTTAAAAATTTCATTGTACAACTGTTGAGTTGCTTTAAATATTATTTGTCATGGGAAATTGTTGGTTAAAACTAATTGTACTGTAAGAAGCAGAACACTGTAGTCCATTTATGAAATGTCATGTTGTCTTAGTAATAGTTCTAGACAGATGATCCTAATGAAAAAATGAGGCACTGAGATTCACATTACTTATATGTATTATTCAAAGGTAAATTTGTCATTTAAAAAAATTTAGAAACCTTTTCTCCCATTACTTTACCTACTTCATAGTGTTGGTGAAGAGGCTTCAGGGGCCCTAAAGATTTGCTCACCTCCTCTCTTGCTGTTTGCAGGTCGGCTGGTGGCTAGTCTTGTTGCAGAATTTCTTCAGTTTTTTAATCTTGACTTCACCTTGGCTGTTTTTCAGCCTGAGGCTAGCACGGTAAGAATAGTGGATTTTATCTCTCTCCTTTGAAGCCACCCTTGATAAAAATGAGTTTAAAATGAAAGTTAACAAAATTTGACAACCTAGAGTATCTTACATATGGATTATTTATTTATTTTTCTTAGCTAGCTAACCTCTTAAAACAGATGCTTCGTATAACTTAGAAGTAATGTTTTGTAGAATTAATTTGTTATGATGTTAGACTATACCCCTTAATGGATACTTTGAATGTAGAGACTGGTGAAAAAATATGTAATTTTTAAAAGTGGACATTTCATTCATTAGAAAAACAACCTCTCTGAGTTTAGAGATGTTTTTATGTTCCAAAAATATTTTTCTTTAATCTCTGAAAATAGTTTTGCTATATTTTTGCACACTTATATCTTACTTCTTACAACTTATTTTTCCCTAGTTTCAAGGTCTCGAAGGTCGAGAAAACTTAGCCCGAGACTTAGGTATTATTGAAGCAGAAGGTACTGTGGGTGGACCCTTACTATTAGAAGTGATCAGACGGTGTCAGCAAAAAGACAAAGGGACAGCAAGTGGGGTGGTAAGTGCAATCCTATGCTGTGTTATCATTTTCTATTTTAATTATTGGCTACTTAGCATGGTAATACAGACCAGTGCATGCAAAATGAGTCACGGTTGCAGTTAAAAGAGGCTGTTTCTTAAAAGCAAAATGAAACACACTAAGACTGCATAAACATGTTCTAATGGAAATTGGAGGTAGAGTAGATCTGAGGCTGCTGCCGCCCCTGTTCTGCAGATTGACCCTCAGAATGTTGAGGTTCGGGGGCCAGGCTCTGTGGAACCAGTTCCAGCATTGCTGCTGACTAGCCACTGGCCTTGGACACACTGCTGCCCTTGTTGTTCCCTTTGTGGAATGGGGAGAGTAGACCACCTCACAGGCCTTGTGAGGCTCACACTCACGAGTTAGTGCGTGTCAAGGACTGAGAGCACTCAACTCATTGTTACTCGTTACTTTTATTGCTATTTTAAGCATTAAAAGACTGAATTATATGGTAGTTGTTGATTTTTTTTAACAAAAACTCTTTATACTAGACTTAAAACTAAGCTATTGATTTTACTGAATTTCTAAACATTTTCAAAATTATGTTTTTTGACTATTTCCTTTCTTAGTCTTATTCTTTCTTTTTAGAAATCCTGCCAATGAGATGAGTGGTCTGATTTCTATTTATATACTTTGGGTTTATATAAAGTTACTGTTTCACAGATGTAGACCACATGGTAACCATTTCAGTTGTCTGGTTAAATGTGTGCGGTAAGAATGTAGAGGGTTTATGGGCTGCCATGTACTTCATTTGGCAAGTCTGAGAGTTTATTTTCTGTTAGAGTCTTTGAAAATCAGTAAATCTTGACTGAGTACCTAAGATTTGCCTCTGAGGCATAATAAATAGATTATTTCAATTAAAAGGTGAAATATAAGTAGGATTCTAGAAGAGTTGAAAGCTATGCAAGATAAATTATGCTCATATAGGAAATGGATATTTAAATGGTTGTTTGAGTACAGAGAATAAATTACAGAATAAATTATAGAATAATCATGTAGTAAATTAGGTTCAAACATAGTCTGAGCAATGATTTTTATTACAAGGGGACAGTGGTTGTTTCATGCTTAAATTTTGTTAGGCGCAATCGTAGTGTGAGTGGGTGGAGAGGATTGGGAATGGTGTCCCAGAAGGATGTGGGAGCAGGGCCAGACCTGGGAGGGTGCGTGTATCCCCTGTGCAGAGAGCACGGCACCGCAGCCCATGCCTTCCAGCGTCGTTCATTTGTACGTCTGTAATTACTTACCAAGTTTCATTGTGTGCTGACTGTATCATGGACATTGTGCTAGCTTCTCAAGAATAAAAAATACACAAGTCTAAAGAAGCCCAGACTGTTGGTTCCTGCTGTTTCATGAGCCCCTGCCTGTAGGTGGTGGTCACATCTCTTTGCTTCTGTGGTCCTGAGCTTCTCCCTTTACCTGCCCTTTGGTTTCCTCTCCTGGTGTGGTCTGGCTCATTCAGGGAGGGGTGGTCGCCCTCAGTCTCTGCTTTGCTCTCCTTCCTCAGCCAGAACTTCTGGGGCTCACCCCAGCTCTGCTGCTCCTGCATGTGATCCTCTTGTTACTTACCTTCCATGTGCCTCACCTGTGAAACGGAGACACTAGGAGTACCGCCCCATGGGGTTGCAGTGAGGACCAGAGGGGTGAAACATGTAAAGCTCTGCGAATGGCACCTAGCGTGGAGAGACCATGTGCATATTTGCTGTTAGCATTACTTTCTTATTTTCTTATCAGTACTCTTTGGGTGACTCCCTCCATCTCAGTCCATCCCTCTAGCTTGAGACCAGAACTTCCAACTCTTCACAAAACATGCCCCTGGTTAACCCACTGGCACATGGTAATCCGTATGAAAAACACTGACTTTATTTTCCTTACATCTAGCAAAGTGAGAGCCACATAGACGAAGAATACTCCCCTCCCACCAAAACCGCCCAGTTCCGGTCTACCCGCACTGCTTCATGTGCTGGTTCTGTCCTCTGACTCCTGCCTCCCGGCCCGAGGCGCTGCCTGTCCACGTGTGCCCCCTGCCTGGGCCTTCTGTCACTAAGGACTTGCTCTCCCTCCTGTACACGGTGGCTCTGGCAGCAGGCCGTAGGAGGAGAAGGGCTGACTGCTGGAAACCTCTGTTCTCTGCCAGACAGGATGTCTACCTCAAACTGATGCCCAGAGATGCTTTCCTGTCTAGTTGGTTTGATTTGAAAATGGAACCTCAGGAAGCGCACCTTGTGACTGGCAGATCCCAGCCTTCCCAGGCAGTGGGCCCCATTCCATACTGTCGTTTTGTCACATCGACCTAGACTGGGAAAGCGATTGGTTCACTCTCAAAACACAGAACTGTTTGGTACTGCATTTGTTCTCCCCCTGTGCTAGCATTCCCCTCTTAATACCTGGGTTTTCATCTTAATAGTTCATTTGTGTTTGTATACACACAAATGAACAGATAATTTAATATTTAAAAGAGGGAGCCCACAGGTGTCTTTTGGCCCTCCTATCATTTACTAGCGTTTATCACTGAGAGGAAACTTGTCATTCATAATGAAATAAAAACGTACAGGTTTTATTGACCTTTGGTGTTTGATGCTGAAGAAGGAAAGTTGCTGTGGCTCGAGCCCATTGACTTAGTGGTGCTTATACCAGAAGTGCTTGTGAAACTGCCATTTAGGTTGGTGGCTGATGTCCCAGTGTAGGTGACTGAGCACACTGCCGCTTTCACAGATCCTGGGGGAGCCACGCCTCCCATCAACACCTTGTGCTGGTCCCCATTGCTGATTGGCAGCTCGGCTTCCTCCTCAGCGCTCCATCCCCAGGCTTTGTTCCCACTTTCTGAACTAATTTTAAAATTCAGCCCTTCATCTATTCCTTTTCCTCTTTAACAATTGCAGTTACTGTGTAATAGCAATTAAATAGTCTCCAGGTTTCTTCCACTTTAAGATCCTGCCTGATGGGCATCAACCTGTCTTTCTAGTCTTCTGCCTCTTTTTTGAAACATGGAACCTGTGCTTAAGCCAGACTGAGCTTGTACTTGAAACTGGCTTTTGTTTTTTCGCTTTTTCTGTTTCTCATCTATTTTCTACCTAAAAGGGGGCATCATCTCCCCACCCAGCCAGGGCACATTATCCCTCAGGTCTCCTTAGCTCTGGCTTGGGGGCGTTCCCTCATGCTCTTCTCTGTCACTGCTGGGGGTTGCTTCCCTCTGGGTGGTGTCCACAGCGTCTGCCATTGTCTGCGCTGTTCCCACCTCCTGTGCTCACCAGGACAAGGGCTGTCTTATCTTGTGGAGTCCAGTGGTAATTCTCAACAGGTATGTGTTCAGGGTCAGTGGGAAGCGTTGGAGGACTTTTGTACATTTGGGAAACAGATTTATGAAGGTTAGATTGGTGAATTGAGAGACATTAAAAGACTAGGAGAAATGAAACCCTTAAAAGGCAGATATAGACAAGATTGTGGCAGTAAGAGCAGAAACAAAGGGCAGATAAAGATGACCTTTTAAAGGAATGATCAGTGAGACTTTGTACATTAGTATTTTGGCAGAGAGACAGGATCTTAGAGGGTAATAGGGGAAAGAAAAGCTTTCAAAAGAGATTTCGGTTTTTGGCCTGGGACTAGATGGTGCCAATACCAGAAATAATGGCATTTGAGGAGAGCAGACACATTTTTGTGTTTAAGAAGTTAATAGCTGTCAGGACGATTTTTATAACAAAATGCCAATTTTTAATATGCTCAGTGAGGAGTTTGTGATGGTACAGTGGGTGAATTTTAGTTATTTCCATTCAAAAAACACTGAAAAAAGTTCCTCCTTTGCATTTGACATAGTGCTGAGGACTTAGCAGCAGCTCCCACTGAGAACTTTGTGACCTGATGGCAGGTGCAGGATGCACTGAGCCAGGGCCCCTGTCAGGGAGCAAAGACGCCCAGTGGGGCAGGAAGGAAGAAGAGCGCTGCCCTTGGAAAGCCAGAGGTCGTTTGGGAGAGCTGCTGTCAGTGCTTTCTCCTGAGCTGAGATGAAGTAGGGAAGCAAGCGCAGGGCCTGTATAGAGAGAGCAGGTCTCTGAGAGTCACTGGACGTGTGGGTGTGGAGAGTCAGGGCAGGGGGCAGGGAAGTGAGGGGGCGGGGGTGGGAAGGAGGACGGAGGGGCTGGTAGGGGGTGAGCCTGTGCCCAGGCACTGAGGGAGGTGCACTGCAGGGAGTGGGACCTGACTGTGTTCTGCTTTGTTTTTTTGGCAAAGTTAGGAAAAAATCTAATGAGGATATTTGTATTAATTAGGAAGAAATAAAAATAGCAACATTGTATAGTTGTTTTAAATGCTAAAATTTTGCTGAGGTATAATTAGTGTATATTCATATTTTACGTTTAGGTATGTTTTGATTTTATTTCAGGGGGTACTGGACCTATCAGATGTACATTCTCCTCCAAAGTCACCAGAAGGAAAAGCCAGCACGCACACAACTACCAGCAAGGTGAGTCGGCTGTGGGGTGCGAGGCGAGTCTGGACGAAGACCCCAGGGCCCTAGTTCTCTCTCTGGTCCTTCACCAGTCGAACTGTTTTGTAGCACAAGTGCTATTTAGTGTCTTGAAAGTGCTTTTTCCCCTTTGATGAAGTATGTGTCTTTAAAAATTGTTTTGCTTTGTTGGTAGTGTTTTGAATTTTGTGTTGTACAAGGAGTATGCTGTTAAATAACAGAATTGCAGGATATTTGGACTCATTTGGTACTTTGAATATTTTTTTCATTCAATTAACAAGGAGGTTTACCTACTTTTCATTTATGAATTCTTAGCTTGAGACTATGAGGTCCCAGAATGTAGACTGTTGTGTCGGATGTGGTAGGCAAGACAGGCAGCCCATTTGGGACTGCATGTCATCATGGCTCTTCATATTGCTGGGCTCGTTGGAGGATTTATAAGATGTTGTGTGCTCGGTGTCTGTGCATGTGTGTGTGTGTGTGTGTGTGCTTTATGAGTTGTTAAAGCTCACGCCTTGGTTGTTCAGGGATTTGGCATAATGAAGGAAAAAATGGAGTGGAACACTCAGGTGTGAAGTCAGGGTATGTGTGATCCTGGGACTGGCCAGAAGGTGATGGCTGGGCCTGCGTTGCCTCGTGGCTATTGGAGTGCCCTTGCGCAATAGAAGCAAACAGTCTTAGCCAAGGATGGGTTTGGGTCAGATTGTTGTGACCGTTCCTCTGGTTTCCATTATGGGGAGCAGAGTGATGTCTCGGGGTACGGTTTAAAAGTGGTTCCTTATACTGCACTGACTTGTAGATACGAGTTGTATCTTCTTAAATTAGGTGACCCCCTGGGGGGCACAGACCCTCCTGCAGGATGTCTTTCCTTTTCAGGTGCCTGGGCTCAGAGCACCTCCAACGTGAGTGGGTCAGTGGGTGGTTCCTGTTGTTATTTGCCACTGGTTTTTATTTTATTGCTCCTTTTTATTTTTTTAATTTAGGAACCAAAGGAATTTCATGCTTTATTTCTAAGCAAGGAAAGAGCCCATTATTCTGTTTTTAGTTGTTCCTTTTCTCTGAGGTCTAGTTAGCCTTCTCTATAGGGAGACTGTAACCCTGGTACAGAACAAGGTCATGAGTATGAATAAATTTTAAAAGTTCTCTTTAAATGAACTGGCAGATATAAGAGCCTTTGTAAAAAGCTTTGCTTTCTGTGAAAATGTCTGTATAGAGGTGAAAGTTAATGCATATTCCAGAGTACTTATCAGTACTGATAGCATTGAGCTACACGGAAGTTGTCTTTTTAGCCAAGTATTATTTTTTAAAGCAAATCATTAGTAATCACCTCCCACATATGGTTTCAAGATCAGATGTTAATGTCTGTTTTACATATTCTTATTCTCTCTGCATTAAAATAATTTTTTTTAGGATCTAAGAATTATAATGAGAATCTTGTGTTCAGTCAGGAAGTGTTGCTCCAAATACAGAGAAGCGATTGGTGAGGTGGATGTGCGGAGCAGCAGTCTGTCCTCTGGGTGGTGCCAGCTTTGCCACCTCCTGCCGGTGTCCAGGGTGGCCTCGGCCTTAGCGTCATGGGCCTGTGGCAGCGTGGCCACTTCTGAACTCTGGTAGCCCATCTCTGTCATAAGATGAGGCCTTCTTTGGGCACTTAAAATGCAATTCCACGATTCTTAAAGGATCTGGATTGGGGGTCCCTGTACATGCCCCACTCGGTCCCTGTGGACTTTCCTCTCTCTTGGTGGCCTTTGCATCACCTTGGGCTCCAGGAAGGACCTTGGCTTCAGGGTGCCTCGTCAGTCTGGAGAGCCCACAGGGCACTAAGGGCTCTGGAAAGTTGTGGTCCAGCCCAGGGTCCAGCGGACCTTTAGGAACCTGTTTTATGTCCTGGGGAAGGGAAAGGAAGGCCAGGGAAGTTCTTAAAGGAACTCCCAAAGTTCTTGGGAGTGCAAGCCTGGCTTTCTTGGTATGCTGCCAAGTGGATCATGAAGGAAGTGAGTCTCCACACAGCAGAGGTCAGACAGGGCAGCAGTGCCCACAGGGGACTGTATAACTGTTGCACAGAGTAATGAAATGGGGGTTGGACTACTTGAGGAATGGAGTTAAGAAAAGACCAAAGAAAAAAAGGGTTTCAAAAAGGAACACATTAGATTTTCCATTTTTAAGACATTTTCTAATAGACATCTTTATTAGTTACGAATTGGTTTATTTTTAAAGATTTATACTATATGGTAAAATGTCATTTTATTCTCATGCTCAGATACCAAGGTATAAAGGACAAGGTAAGAAGAAGACAAGCGGGCAGAAGTCTGGTGCCAAGGTAACGCGCGAGAGGGCAAAGGAGAGAGTGGCCTGTGCTGTGTGGGCTGCTGGTTTCGTGGGGCTCCTGTGGCCCCCTGTGGCCTGGCCTTACGTTCTCTTAAGTGTCCCTTTCATTTTTCTGTAATCAGAACAATGTAAGGTCTTGGTGGCATAAAACAAAAAGTTATTTGGCTTTCAGTGTTTATCCAGGTGAAAATCATACTGTTGTATTTTAAAATATGCTGTTTTACTTTGAGAATTTCTTGTTTCATTGGCAATTTTAAAAATTGAAAATACTTATTTTCCTTTTGAATGGATGGTCATGTACATATTCTCAACATGATGATTTTTATCTGAGGTAAATAGGATATCAAACTACTTGCTAGATAATTTCCAATTGATAGAGGCTGAATTTTAAGACATTTTTGTTTGTGGTCAGCTTATCAGGCCATCACACATTAGCAGCCTGTCCTTAGAGCTCTGCTCCCAGGAGACGCGGACACATGGGCGTGGGAGTGCTGCCCCTGCCGCATCGCGTCGGTGCCCTGGCTGCCTTCATCTGCTCCCCAGACCGCCACAGAAATGGGCTCAGCTGCTTTTGAAAGGTCAATGGTAGAGGTCTTTGAAGCATGTTAGATCAGTACAGTTCTTACATGTGTGTGTGTGTGTGTGCTTTATGAGTTGTTAAAGCTCACGCCTTGGTTGTTCAGGGATTTGGCATAATGAAGGAAAAAATGGAGTGGAACACTCAGGTGTGAAGTCAGGGTATGTGTGATCCTGGGACTGGCCAGAAGGTGATGGCTGGGCCTGTGTTGCCTCGTGGCTATTGGAGTGCCCGTGTGCAATAGAACCAAACAGTCTTAGCCAAGGATGGGTTTGGGTCAGATTGTTGTGACCGTTCCTCTGGTTTCCATTATGGGGAGCAGAGTGATGTCTCGGGGTACGGTTTAAAAGTGGTTCCTTATACTGCACTGACTTGTAGATACAAGTTGTATCTTCTTAAATTAGGTGACCCCCTGGGGGGCACAGACCCTCCTGAAGGATGTCTTTCTTTTCAGGTGCCTGGGCTCAGAGCACCTCCAACGTGAGTGGGTCAGTGGGTGGTTCCTGTTGTTATTTGCCACTGGTTTTTATTTTATTGCTCCTTTTTATTTTTTTAATTTAGGAACCAAAGGAATTTCATGCTTTATTTCTAAGCAAGGAAAGAGCCCATTATTCTGTTTTTAGTTGTTCCTTTTCTCTGAGGTCTCTAGTTAGCCTTCTCTATAGGGAGACTGTAACCCTGGTACAGAACAAGGTCATGAGTATGAATAAATTTTAAAAGTTCTCTTTAAATGAACTGGCAGATATAAGAGTCTTTGTAAAAAGCTTTGCTTTCTGTGAAAATGTCTGTATAGAGGTGAAAGTTAATGCATATTCCAGAGTACTTATCAGTACTGATAGCATTGAGCTACATGGAAGTTGTCTTTTTAGCCAAGTATTATTTTTTAAAGCAAATCATTAGTAATCACCTCCCACATATGGTTTCAAGATCAGATGTTAATGTCTGTTTTACATATTCTTATTCTCTCTGCATTAAAATAATTTTTTTTAGGATCTAAGAATTATAATGAGAATCTTGTGTTCAGTCAGGAAGTGTTGCTCCAAATACAGAGAAGCGATTGGGGAGGTGGATGTGCAGAGCAGCAGTCTGTCCTCTGGGTGGTGCCAGCTTTGCCACCTCCTGCCGGTGTCCAGGGTGGCCTCGGCCTTAGCGTCATGGGCCTGTGGCAGCGTGGCCACTTCTGAACTCTGGTAGCCCATCTCTGTCATAAGATGAGGCCTTCTTTGGGCACTTAAAATGCAATTCCACGATTCTTAAAGGATCTGGATTGGGGGTCCCTGTACATGCCCCACTCGGTCCCTGTGGACTTTCCTCTCTCTTGGTGGCCTTTGCATCACCTTGGGCTCCAGGAAGGACCTTGGCTTCAGGGTGCCTCGTCAGTCTGGAGAGCCCACAGGGCACTAAGGGCTCTGGAAAGTTGTGGTCCAGCCCAGGGTCCAGCGGACGTTTAGGAACCTGTTTTATGTCCTGGGGAAGGGAAAGGAAGGCCAGGGAAGTTCTTAAAGGAACTCCCAAAGTTCTTGGGAGTGCAAGCCTGGCTTTCTTGGTATGCTGCCAAGTGGATCATGAAGGAAGTGAGTCTCCACACAGCAGAGGTCAGACAGGGCAGCAGTGCCCACAGGGGACTGTGTAACTGTTGCACAGAGTAATGAAATGGGGGTTGGACTACTTGAGGAATGGAGTTAAGAAAAGACCAAAGAAAAAAAGGGTTTCAAAAAGGAACACATTAGATTTTCCATTTTTAAGACATTTTCTAATAGACATCTTTATTAGTTACGAATTGGTTTATTTTTAAAGATTTATACTATATGGTAAAATGTCATTTTATTCTCATGCTCAGATACCAAGGTATAAAGGACAAGGTAAGAAGAAGACAAGCGGGCAGAAGTCTGGTGCCAAGGTAACGCGCGAGAGGGCAAAGGAGAGAGTGGCCTGTGCTGTGTGGGCTGCTGGTTTCGTGGGGCTCCTGTGGCCCCCTGTGGCCTGGCCTTACGTTCTCTTAAGTGTCCCTTTCATTTTTCTGTAATCAGAACAATGTAAGGTCTTGGTGGCATAAAAAGAAAAGTTATTTGGCTTTCAGTGTTTATCCAGGTGAAAATCATACTGTTGTATTTTAAAACATGCTGTTTTACTTTGAGAATTTCTTGTTTCATTGGCAATTTTAAAAATTGAAAATACTTATCTTCCTTTTGAATGGATGGTCATGTACATATTCTCAACATGATGATTTTTATCTGAGGTAAATAGGATATCAAACTACTTGCTAGATAATTTCCAATTGATAGAGGCTGAATTTTAAGACATTTTTGTTTGTGGTCAGCTTATCAGGCCATCACACATTAGCAGCCTGTCCTTAGAGCTCTGCTCCCAGGAGGCGCGGACACATGGGCGTGGGAGTGCTGCCCCTGCCGCATCGCGTCGGTGCCCTGGCTGCCTTCATCTGCTCCCCAGACCGCCACAGAAATGGGCTCAGCTGCTTTTGAAAGGTCAATGGTAGAGGTCTTTGAAGCATGTTAGATCAGTACAGTTCTTACACTTAACTAGAATAAGGTAAAATTATTTAACTTTTCATTCTGTGAGAATCCTTGGTCCTTGTTGAGCCTGTGCTTGTGTATAGATTATTAAGGACCTCTAAAATTAAAGGGTTTTTAAGAACCGTATTTGCTGTGTCAGCTGCCTTTAGTCCTTGTATTTTCAGTGGTAAATTCCTATTACTGTGTGTGTCCACACTTTTTTTTATGCATTACTACTGGAGAAGATGTTTTAAAATGTTATTTAGCAAGTATGTGTGAACATTACACAGTGAAGATCATTGTGTTAAGTGCTGTAGGCAACACAGATTTTAATGTGGTCCCCACTTAAGCAGTTTACAGTCTAATAGAGATGAGACATAAAGATAATTAATTTAAAATAGCATGTTTATATAGATTGTTTTAATCAGTATCTTAGACTTTTATTAAAGGTAAAAGCGTATTTCATAGCATTTCATAATATCACATGTTTATATTCTTACTGGTGTGAATTTTAAAGAAGTTAAAACATTTTGAAATTGTTTATGTCTAGAACCCGAAGCGTGTGAGAAGAGACCCTCTGTCACTTTGTGTGAGGGGAGGCAGCAGTGCGGCCAGATTTATCTTTCACTCTTACTGTGGGGAGGGCTTTCTTTCCTTCCCTCTCCTGAGGGCTGGCTGGAGAATCTGTGCTGGCCCATATCCAGGGGTTAAAGGCTGTAAGTCAGGACCCTTTTATTTCACTATATTCCTGACCCCGAAACCTGTTTTCCCCTACATTTACCTAAACTTGTTTCTGAAAAGTCTGTGTTGTGCCAACATTGCCTACTTCCAGCCTGGTAGGTGGGCCCTGAGCACGTCATCCCTCTGCCTTTCTGCTCTGCCTGAGCATGCTGCAGGTTCCCAGTGTCCTTTGTGTCCTAACATTGTTAACATCTTAACCCAAATACCAGGCTGTGTTTGACTGTTGAGGTTGTATACCGCAGGACTCCAGGGGGAGCTGTTCACCTGGTAGCCAGGTGGCATTTCCCCATTGTGCAGAGCCTTTCAGGGCAGCCCTGCCTGTCCCTGAACTGAGCGGGGAACGGAGCAAGGAGCGCTGTGCGTCTTCCTGCTGCTTTTGTGCACAGCAAAGCCCAAGTACTGATGGCTCATTTGGAGATGCTCTGTTCATAGTAGAAGTGTATTTTTAAAAATCACCTATATACATCCATACACATATTTACATGTAACTGATTCGTACTTACTGTCATGAGCCTGTCTGTAAACCAGTCAGTATGCACAGTAGAATCTAAGGGTTTTGAGCTAATTTAGCTTGGATAAAAATAAAAGTTACTTTCTGGTTTTTATTGTTGTGAGACAATAAAGGATGGATAGAAGAGCTGGAATGCAAGCTGGCTAAATAGCAGATGGGAGGACATTTCTTTAATAAGTTAAAATTTTAAAATATGTATTAATACTTCCTTCCAAGGTACCATCTGTAACAGTCTATTTCATTGTAAGCCATCTGGTTGCAGCACACATGGTGCTAGTTCTCTGGAAAACACTTCATGCCAAAGATTGCCACAGGCTTCTGGCTCTGCTAACTTAGGTTTACCATTCAGTTGGAAAAACTGAGTAAGATAGATATTTTTCATTTTTAATATTTAGACTAAAATGCTTTTAATCATCACATGGTCATCCTTTCAACTGGAATCAGGTGTCTTAAAACTAGTGTATATTGAGGTATTTTTGCTTCAAGTTCTTAAAGGAGGACATTTCTTAATTTGTTCCTTGTTTTCAAAATCCTGGGATAAAGCTGGAACCCAGCTTTATGTTCATCTAGGGCAGTGATGGGGCCACATGTTATGCTTGGGGGGTGTTTCTGCATTCTTTCAGTTAGGGTTTTCTAGATAAGCCATTACCATTCCCTCGGCACATGTGTACCCCCAGCCCATCCTGAGTGCACAAGGCCTGAGGGTGGATAGCATGCTCCGAGCAGTGCCGCCTGGCCAGCTCCGCCGTCCTGGCTGCCCCTGCCCGGGACTGGAAAGCATGGCACCCCCTGGCTGCTGAACCCTGAGCAGGGGCTGAGCATGCAGCAGCCAGGCAGCGGGCTGTCTTCAATTCTTGATTTCAGAGCTGGAAAGAGGAGAGTATTTATAGACGAGAGTATTTGTAGAGCAGAGGAATAGAGTTTCTCGAGACAAACTGAGTTTTTAGAAAGGGAGGTTTAAATGTTTGTTTTATGAAATGCCACAGTGTTTACTCTCTAGGTGAATGAATTAAAACTTCTAAATATGTGTGTTACACCTGTAGTAAAATTACTTCTCTCCATAGTTTGTTAGTAAGTCATGGATGGAGAACTGCCTATGAGACATAGTTGAAGATAATTAAGAATTTAAAACAGCATGTTTATATAGATTGTTTTAATCAGTGTCTTAGACTGGGAGGGGTTAGGTGGGAAGAGAATTTAATATTGAATTAATTATTTTGAATACTTTTGCAAAACTAGTGTGTTTCTTTGGCTTTGATGTGTTTCTCTTATAAGCAGTGCGATTAAGCTTTTAATTTGGAAAAACAAAATTATTTTTTCTAAGTTTTTGAGATATTCTAGTGATAATTCAGTTTTTGTCTACTAGAAAATTGGTTATTTCCATTGTGAAACTTCTCTTTGTGATGCTATTTTCTGTTAATCTAGAAATGATTGCAATGTTGAGTGTAAACATATGCTAGTAGAAAAATAAATACACTAAAGCTTTCTTACAACTTTAATTTACTATAAAGCCTGTTGAGTCTTGAGATCTGTCCAAAGGCATTTAGTGGCACTGTCATGCTGTGCAGTCAGTTCTTGTTTTTATGAAGCGACAAAACTTTATTATTAAAAGTTTTAGGTATTTATTATAAATATCTCTGTTGGTGCCTAGGGCTGCCATAACAAAGCACCACAGACTTGGTGGTTTAAAACAACAGAAATGTATTGTCTCCTGGTTCTGGAGGCTGGAAGTCCCAGGTCAAGGTGAGGGCAGGCTTGGTCCACTGGAGGATGTGCAGGGCCTTTAGGCCAGGCGGGTGCTCCAGCCTCTGCTGGCTCCCAGCAGCCCCAGGCACGCTCGGCTCATGAACAGCATGGGCCTCCTGGCCTGTGTTCCTAGCTGGGTCTGTCTCGTGTCACCGGGTTAGGGCACTAACCTCCATTCAGCGGAACCTCATCTGAACTGGTTGCATCTCTAATGACCCTATTTTTGAATGAAAGCCCATTCTGAGGTACTGAGAGGTAGGAGTTTTTTGGGAGATACATTTACTCCATGATAGCCACTAGGGCCTGTGAGGTTGTCTAGGGAGTGAATCTGAAGGCATTATCATGTTTTTTTTTTGTCACACTTATTTGTTTTAAAGAATTCTTAACCATCTGAACTCTAGGTGGATTTTTTTTTTAATAGTGCAAGTTATTTGGAACTAAGTTCAGTGAATTTGTTAGTAACCCAGTCTTCTTGGTAAAAAAGTAGCCATAGGTACAAAGTAATGACACATTCCTGTGTGGTTTAGAAATTGATTTTGAGAGCAGCTCCAAGGATAGTGAATGTCATGAAGGTTGGCTGTACTCCACAAATAGAACTATAGTTTAAAACAAGCTAATTATTATTTTTTAAAACATGTGTTGAACATAATATGCTTCTCCATGAAACTAGTCTTTCTGTAGCAGGAGTACAGCTAAAAACAGTCAAAAACCATGGATGTGTTGAGTTTAGATAGTTCATTATGTGGGCTTAAATTGTGTTGGTGATGTGAGTCCACAGGGAAGAAAGACATCATTGGAAGGTCCCTCTTTCATGTGCTGTTGCTCCTTGTTTATTTACATTTCAGTTTGTCTCGTGTTGGTTGCCTTCTGAATTTTCATAGGCTTTTGAAGGAGAGAATATCATTATCCCAGTATAATATTTGTAAATGTGTTTAAATATCACAAGACTCAGGGTATTTATTTCCAAGTGCATATGCTTTTGGAAAGATAGAAATCAATTTTAAAACATAAGTCAGGAGTTGCAATGGACACGAATCTAATTAAAAAATACATAGGTGACAGTGCTTTTCTGTATTTGATAGCAGGGAAACCAAGAAAGTTGTTCGGAAATTCTTTTAAGTTTCTGCTTCTTTGAAAGTATTCTGTGTTGTTTAAAAGGCTGATAATTTGGTATTTTCTAGATATGTCTTTTTACAATCATTAATTTATATTAACAACATGTGGTATGTACAGTCTATACAAGGGCCTACAAATTGTATAGCATGTATCTTGCCTGCTGTCAACCAGCTGTGGCCTCTGGTGTAAACATATACATGTATATGTAATATGTACATAATATATACTGTCATGTATTCTGTCAGTACATATGAAAAGTGTCTTACTGAGTAATTTCTAACCCATATTATTGCCACCCTGCTTCAGTAGTCATTAATGTGTTCCAGCCACACACACATCCCTCTGTCCTAACTACTGGTAAAAATTTGATTTGGAAAGTACTGCTCTAGTTCAATTCTTGAGGAAGTTCATGCCTGGGAACATTAGTTAAGATTACGTATTAGTGGCAGAGTGTGGTCTCCATGCACCGTTGGCATCTCACAGCGCTGCTCTCGTTAGTATGGCAGGCTGAATCTTGGGAAACTGTCATTTTTAACCCACAAAAAACTGTAGTTCATAGGACCTAATAGCATGATGTAACTATTAAGAGCTGATCTCTGGAATCAGACTTTCATTTTGGTCCTGACCCCTTAATCCCTGGAGACCCTGGCAAGTGATTGAAATGTCTGTGTGGTTCCTTTCTCATGTCTGCGGGGAAAACAGACTTAGCCTCTACCCAAGGGGATTTTGAAGATTAAAAGGAGATAACGTGGAATACATTTGAAGGCTTTTCCATAAATGTTGCTACTTTTACTGCTATTGTCATAATCTCTTATTTTGAGCTAATTATTTTTATTGTTGACATAGGTATGTCAAAGGGCAGAGAGAAACCTGACCAAGGATGGGTGCCATGGGGGTGTGGCAGTCAGTGCCAACTGAAATGGTGCAGTGTCACTTCTGGGCTGGCATCACCAGAGTAGTGGGACAGGAGTGATGTTTGGGAATGTTACATGTTGGTTTAAAATGCAGACACACATAGAGACACGTGTCCACGGAACTCGAGGGAGGTGTGGATTAGGGAGTTACTCTGAAGTCTGAATTGAGATCAGTTCTTTAACTAGCAAATCTTCATGTTAGAAATGCAGATGGTGAAGATGGTATCTTCTACCTTGGTGTCTGTGGTGTTTAGACTGGATGGAAAACTGCTGTTTTAGTGATGAACAGTTTAACAGTAGATTCATTTTTGCGAACTAACCTCTGCTTTACTAGTCATGCCTTCTCTTATTTGCAAGTTGAAAACATATTAAGATAATTTATGAAGAATGATGTATATATTAAGAGGAAATGGGGAAGTTGTTTATAAATGGGAAAGTTCGTGTGTAAATGGGATACTTATAATAGAATTCCATTAAGGGAGGGAGAAGAAAATGGTGTGAATATTTTCTTTGACATTTTCCCCTTCCACAGTAGCCCTGCTCTGAAGCTGGGGTGAACGGACGGGCCATGGGCTTACTCCGCATCTCACACGGTTGTGATACCTGCACATGCATGTGTACGCACACAGACCTGCATATGCTCATGGCTCCTTCTCACTGTGGTGCCTTACTAAAGTTCCGTCTCACCGAGAAGACCTTTTCTCTCCCCCTCCCCCTAGAGGGCCAGCAGTGATGCAAGTCACAGTGATAAAAGCACCTCTTCGTCGGAAGCAAAGAGCAAAAGTGGTCTTCACTTAATGGCCCAAGAAGTGAAAATTGGATCTTTCTTAAGCAGCAAAAGTCTGGATGTCACAGACAAAGCTGCTCTTTGCGCAGATGAAGATGATATGGAAGGGGATTCTTTCTTTGACGATCCCATTCCTAAACCAGAAGAAACTCACGGCTGGTGGGTGAACAGTATTTTTGGGTTATCAGACTAGAGGCTTAAAAATGTGATTTTTGAGTATTTTTACATTTTAAAAATAAGCTACAAAGTTTCTATAATTACTGAATTCAAGAGTCTGATTTTGTATCATAAAAACCTTTTATGTTGTAAAACAATTCTGAAAAAAAACCTAGAAATTAATGACCGCAGTAGGTGGGTATGTACTGAGTGTCTTGTCACGTGCTGGGTGATGGGTGGGGCTGCTGGTAAAAATCACACACTGAAGATTTAATTTGCAGCACATCAAACAGTTCTAGAGAGGGGTGAGCTGATTTCTCATTGAGAACTTCCGTGAACTTAGGTGATCTGAGTCTGCCTTGCAGACTTTATGGTTTGAGTTCCTGAAATGTCTCTTCTTTATTTCCCAGCCACTGTGTACATGGTAAAATACACTGAAGTTGCTTATGTTTTAGTGGCAGAATGTAAGAGTACACCTTAACCGTGCCCTTGTTTCTTGTTAGGAGAAGTGAACCTAGTAAGCATGTAGGAAGCCTGGCATCGCTCTCCGACGCCCCCCCTTTAAAAGGTGGACTCAGCTCCCTTGCTGGAGCCCCCTCGTTGAGAGACTCTGAAAGTGAGTGCCTGAAAGCCCCTAGATTTGCTGGCTGAAGATGTGGACTTGAAATGCTGATGATATTTTTTCTCTAATTAATTATGTAGTATGTCTGTGTTATTTTTTCAGAAAAATATGGCTCATAATTTTACTGCTCAGAGGTATTTCCTGTTAATATTTTATTAACAGTTTTTACTTCTTTTTCATATGGTCATATTCTCTCTATCATTTTGTACTCTGCCTGTGCCATCAAAATACTTTGGAAAATTGGCTTTTTAGCTGCTTTATATAATGCATGATTTTTAGACCATCTCTCTTTTGCTGGGTATTTACATTGGCTTGCATAAGATTTAAGGTCAGTGAATTTTAAAAATTAGTTCCATAGATTCTGTGGTCACTGGTCATCATAGGAATGTTGAAGTGTCTGCCGCAGGGACTCAGGTCGGCCGTCTGTGTATGCAGCGGACATGGAGATTAACAGACATGCTGTCGGCTACCTGCCTGTGCCTGGCCTGCACACAGATGGCAGCGAGGCCAAGGCCTGAGAAGCATAGCTTTCCATGTGTGAATGTGCAGATGGACTTTGTAAACTAGATTATAGTAAATAAAGGATTTAATTGACAGTGTTTAGAGAGAGCGTAAATGTGCCTTTTAAGAATGTTTGCTAAAAAATGGTCTTTATAGGAAATTGCAGTGTGATTTTGTGTAATTTTGCAGTACTTACTAACCTTTTGAGTGACATGATACAATGGTGGGATTTCCTAAGACACACACAGAGCTTTGGGACTCCTTTTGCTGTCTAGTGAATTAGCCGCGTTCCGTGAATGTGGCCACGTCTGCTTCCCACTTGTTTCCCGTGGTTATTGTTACCTTCGGTAAAGGGACCCAGAGTGTCGTGAGCGTGTCAGTCTTAACACTGGTCGGAGAAGAATGACTTAGAAAGCCAGGACTGAGAAAAGAAAGGCAGCGAGGAATTCAGTGTGATAAATGCAGCAGTGAGCGAGCAAATAAATAAATAAATACAACTGAGAATAATTAGCTGTAGTCCATGAACTCATCCCTAGTGGGGCTGCTTATGGAAGGTGATAACTGATAGTTCAGCAAAAAAGTATTTTGACGGCCACGTTACAGTGAAGGGTAGTAGTATGTGTGGTTAAAAAGGGGTATATTGCACAATGAAAACAGTTGATATATTTTCTTAGGTTTTGGTTATTATGTTTCATAAAAAACTCTATTGAAAATAAAGACATGGTTTAGAGACTATTGTATTCTGTAAGTCAATTTAATGTGAATATTTTTCCTTCACAGGTAAAAGGGGGAACACAGCTTTGAAAGATCTCAAGTTGGTCAGTGGTAAAACTGGATCATTTGGACTAGGTAACTAGATTCCCATTTTAGTGTTGACTGCTTGAAGGTAATTATTTCTTAGGATGAAATAACTGAGGTGACTTAGTCACTCACAGGGGCACCTCGTGTGCAGATGTTTGGATGGCTTTGTGCATCCAGTGGGGATATAGTAGCAACTTGGCAGACTGTCCTGTGGAGTTCAGCTCTCATAGGGAATGTCGGCATTAAACAGGTACCCAGAGATTCTGTGCCTGTTAAAGGCGTCAGTACACACTGTGTGAAAGTGGGCAGTAGGCTGGGCCCAGCCTCGGCATCCCAGAAAGGCCTCTCCTTGGAAGTGACTCCTCTGCCAAGACTTGAAGGGTAAGGGCCAGGGAAGAGCTTTCAGTGAGACTGAGGGGACAGTTTGTACAAAGGCAGTTACTTCTTCAGGTGCTGGGACTGTGTGGTCCAGGCCCTGGGGAACTGGTATAATGGAGGAGAGAGGCTTGTAACCAGAAGAAGTATGCGCTGTTGTGTTCAGTTCATTCGGTGGATTGTTTCCTACAGAAGAAAGGACCTCAGTGTGAATATAAAGAGCCCTGGGCCACTTATGCAGAGCATGGTTCTCACCTGGTTTTCTCTGTGCCAAACTGCAGGCCGGTGTGATAGACATACCTTAAGAGAAACATTTCAGAGAGTGGAAAGAACTTGAGTTTGGAAGTGGATAGATAAAGTAAAATCCCAGATGTGGCACTAACAGGTGGGTAAGGTAGTAGGTAAACGGAGCTATTTCCTCATCCGTTAAGTGAAACTACTGACATCTACCTCGTGTTAAAAAGTAGATAAAACCTAAATATATGCCAGACATAAATAGAAGTACAGTGCCTGGCATGGTGGGTACCTAATAAATGTCAGCTTCCTTTATACGTTACTTTGTTCCTCTGTGTGCAGCAGAGTAGTTGTTCTCTGAGTGCTGGATTCTGGTCAGCCATGCCCTGGCCTTGTGGCAGCTGCTGAGCCTGTGATCAGGTGGACCTGCTCCCTTTTCCCTTCCTTCTCCCCTGCTGGGTGGGGTGGCACTTTCAGTCAGACATTCTTCTGCACACCCCGATGTGAAGTCTGCTCCCAGGTTTTTGCCCCATGTCCTGCTTCAGTGAAGAGCCACCACTGGAGACTTTGCGCTAAGCTCCACACCTGGCGCTGCCCCTCCTGCCCTGTCCTGGCTTCTGTTTGTGTCTCACCTTTGTAGTATTCAGTCCGTTGGCTGCCATCTAGTTTCTTTGATGGCCCGGCTCTTTGTCAAAGCAAGGGGGTCCCCAGGCCATATTTGAGGAACAGGTACTGAGACTCCTCCTTCTGAGGGAGGGGGTCCTGCGGCTTCCCCCCACCCTGTGTGGGGGACTCTGGGCCACCCGGGCTGGGGCTTTTGGAGCCACTCACGTTTGACTTACCAGTTCTCTAGCTGAATGTGTGGTCACATGGCCAGCCACTAGGGTTCAGTATAAATAAGCATCTGTTTGTAGTTTTGTTTAATGGTATTGTAACAGTATTGTTTTCTTTTCATTGTGTGTATACAGTATTCTTGGTGTTCTAAGTAACAGAAGTACTAATAGACTAGGAGAATAATATTAGTGATGTGTACCTGGCACTGTACCAGAAAACAGTTTTATTTAGTTCTCACCCTGTGAGGTAGGTTTTATTATTATCTTTATTTTTACAGGTGAAGAACCTAGGATTAAGTTATTTGCCTAAGATCATACCACTTAGAATCCTGATACAACAAAGAGCCCTAATTGCTGTGTTCTGTTACCTACACATCATTTAGCCATTGTTTAAGTATCAATGGAAAAATAAATTCTGAGTACTAAAGCAATAATTTAAAAGTAAAACTTTATAGTACACTTCCTTCAGTTTGGTGGACAAATATTAGTCACAGGCTCCCATGTTCACAGGCACTTTCTGTGTTCGGAGCATGACTGGGCAGTACTTTCTGTGAAGGGTTGAGTCAGTGTGTATGTTTTAGGCTCTGTGGGCCACATGTGGTCTCTCGCATATTCTTTGTGTTTTTTTTGTAATCCTCAAAAAAAATGTAAAAGCCATTCTTGCAGGCCATACAAAAGCAGGTTGTCGACTGAATTTGACCTGTGGGTCAAGTTTATATACATAGTTACGTAGTTATACATAGAACCAAGACATCAGAATTCAATGTGTTCAAGCTTGTTATTCAGTAAATAATTTGTAATTGGCTGCAAATGCAGAAGGTGGGGGCATCAGTTGACTCTCAGTCCAGCTTCCCCAAGTCTGCGCTTGGTCTGCCTGGAGTGCCGTGACCGCACTTGGAGGCCGCCTCCCAGCCTTAGGAGTCGCTGCTGCCGTGGCTCCCCTCGGGCCTTGCACACCAGCCACCTGCGCTGATTGGTTTAATCAGAAGCTTTGTCCATCTTTCTCCCCTGAACTTTGCTTGACAGTTCTGCTTTCCTTCAGGCACTGTATACTCCCAACCTTGTGTGCACCCCTAGCCTGTGTATAACCCTAACTTTGTGTCTTCCCTAACCTGTGTACACCCCCCTTATGTTGGAAGCTGTGTGGCATGCAGGCTATGGCTGGAGCTCAGCTGTGTAGTGGGGTGAGGGCAAGCCTGGAGTCCCCGCACCCATGGGGAGCCTTGGCCAGGATCCACGTGTTCTCCATTTTTCCAGCGCCCTCTCCTCCCCATCCCATATGGGCCGTCTATCTGTCTATTTACACTGTAGGATGCTTGGCCCTCAGTTATCTCCAGCCCGGACCCCATGGTAGCTGTCTGTCCCCTTCCTTTCCTTTCTGCCCACCACCGCCCAGCACAGTTCTGCTGCAGTAGTTGGTGTGTCGGTGGAAGACAGAAACCCATTACCCTTCACTGTTTCTGCCCCCCCCACCCTCCCCCAGCCCCGGTCCCCTCTGCATTCAGGCTGAAGGCCCTGCATGGCCTCTGCCAGCCCTGCTCTCCCCACCCTGACCGCAGATTCGTTTTCTCTGGTTATACCAGCTTCCTCACTCTTTAAACCACCACACCCTCCCCTGTTTCAGTCTGCACGTGTTTTCTTCCTCATGGGATCCTGATAATTTGTATATCTGGTACCTTCTTTAGGCTTCAACTCAGCTGTCACCTCAGAGAGCCCCCCTGAGCCTTGTGAACCATGTCTGGCTTCAGACTGGCCGCCCCTTTCCTCTCGCTGGAGGATCAGCCCCTCTAGCTAGAGGTCAGGGAAGCTGCCTTACCTTGGGGGGTCATAGCTACTTATTTGAATACATTAACAGTTAATGTAAATTAATACATTAACAATTAATGCTGTGTTAATCAGGGAGGTTTATCAGAGAGAATCGTGTGTGCTACTGCCTATCCGGAACTTGAATCCCCTCAGCCATGCCCCTGTTGCAGAAAGAGCCTGTCTGGAGCTTGGAAGGACTGTGTCCACACCAGCAGTGTCTCAGAACCGCGTGCTGCTGAGCCGGACCTCTTCTGCTCTGCATCTTCCCTTTTCCCAGTGTGTCTTCTACAGGCCGGTCATGCACAGTATGAGGTGGCTCTCCTGGGCCCCTGAAGTCCTTACCTGGAGGTTCACGACCTGGTTCCTCAAACGTTCCTCAGGAGATACAGAGGGGACTCAGGCACACCCTCTGCTGAGGCCTCATGCACTCTTGGCCACTCTTTAACGGTCGCCCTGTCCTTGGGACGCCACCTTGTATGAAGGGCTTCCTGCACGCCAGGGAGTGTGCCGAGCCCCTCCTGTGCACGTGTCCTTAACGCCAATCTTGGCTTCGGTGTTTGTGGGGCCACACTTTAGAGCCGAGGAAATGGCCAAGGGAGGGGACCTCCCTCTCCAGCAGCCGCAGAGCTCTTGGGGGTGCTGGGCCTGGCCGGGACTGCCCTCTGGCTTGTGTGTGCACCTCTTCACACCTTAGGATCAGTTCTGAATTTTATATACTGTATTAAGTTGAGAAGTCTCAGCAGTTCAAAAAAGGTAACAAGGGCTTTATGATCACTTACTTTTGCTGTATCCCATTACATCAAGTATTTGCTTTTAATGTCAAGTGATATTATAAAGATAAACATATAATATGCCTGAGCATTTGGAATAAAAGACTAAATATGAATATTTTATGATATATTAATTTTTAGGTAGTTTACTTTGTCATTCACTTTGATATATATGGTAAAAAAGTCTCTGATCTCTGACACTCTTTAAAGATACAATATAACTCAGTAATGTAGGTTTTTTTGAAGTGTGTTTAACTGTAGATAAATTGTGAAATGTGTTTGTGTAAATGTAATACATATATCTTAAACTTACTAGGGACTGGAGAAGACGATGACTATGCTGATGATTTTAATAGGTAAGGAAAATAGTTGGGCTACAAATGTATACATCGTAAACATTTCTGAACAAGGTAAGTATGAATTACACTGGTGCTTATTTTAGTTTATTTGATTCTCGTATTGATTGAAGGTGAATAAAAGGTAGTTCATCCAAAATTACACCATGGACTTTGAAGCATGTCTTTTTGACTTTACATTAGAATAGGGATGTTACTGTTAAGTTCGGGAAGCTTGTAAGAGTAAGATCAAAACATGGCACTGACGGGCTGACCCAGCCCTGTAGCACCTGTTGGGTCGCTGGGTCCCAGGTGCTGCTCCTCCGTCCCTCACGTGGTGGCAGTTGTCTACATTCAACTCAGAAAAATTGTCCTCTTATAATATTTTTCTGATTCAGGTGACATTCCTTAATAGTTTGTTTCAGATAACTTTTTTTATATACATAAAGATAATCTATGAGTTGGCTGATAATTTGGAAGTAGTATTTGTTGTGGATATGATTAGAAATTTTGAATTAGAGTCTGAGAATTTTATATAATTGACAGGTTGTTTTCTTTTCAGTTGGGAATTCATTCTTATTTTTTAATAGCATAATTTATTGTACAGTTTTTTGAGAGAGAGAGGATGTAGCCGATGGTTTTAAAAATCTGGGTTTGCTGCTTTCTTGCCCTCGTGGCCACCACCACCATTATTCAGCAGCTCTTTCTGCTGCTGCCTGGGTAAAGTTATTTTAAGGGTCAAGTGAGATAAGATGTATGAAATTAATAATATTTAATATTAATATTTAAAGGATTCAATATCTGATAAGTTGAGGGATTGTAGTTACTCTCAAAATGTTCATAATAAGAGTGCTTGTTTTTCTTTTTTTTCATCTTAAATTAGTACCAGCCATCGCTCAGAAAAAAGTGAGCTAAGTATTGGTGAAGAGATTGAAGATCTCTCTGTGGAGATAGATGACATCAACACCAGTGATAAAGTAGGTGCTGCGCATTTCCCACAGATTTCTGTTTGTGTCTGCTTGTCTGGGTTTTCTATGAAGCTTCACAATTTTACACAGATTAGGACAAAACAGTTGAAAATTGTGAAAAGTTCATGACGGTTACCTGGTCCACGTCTAAAAAGAATGTCTTAATGAATATGTAAGATTATTTTTGACTGTCATCTACTTTGGTAACTGAGTGCTTTTGAAATGTCAGCATATGATAGTTACTAGGGTGCCAGTTGCTGTGGTTACATGGACCACAGTAGAGTCAGAACCAACCAGCTCAGTGGTATGGACGGTACAGGCAAGAGGTTATGTTCAGAGGGGTCAGCGTGGACCGTTGGTGCAAAGATGAGCACCACGGCTGTGCAGGGGACGAGCAGGCTGGAGCGCTGTGTTGTGAGGCCTGAGCAGGCAGGTCAGGCCGGTGCTGGCACCCCTCCCAGATAACACGGTGCACCGGGGGCAGTGTAAGAGTAGGAGTCCATGCTGGAGATGCACCTTTGACCTTCCTGGGCGGCTAGCAGAGCACTGACATGTGTGTCCCATGGGAGAGGTGAGGGAGCACCTGAGGATCACCTGCTGGTGCCCACGGAGCAGGACCCCAGCCCAGGTGAGTCTTCCTCTCAGGTGTGGGTTTCCAGGAGGAGGAAGGCTTCTCCAGGTGCAGGAGGTTCTCCGTGGTCACCCACAGGGTGAAGGCCTCTGAGGGAGGCGGCACAGTCTGAGCCAGCAGACCTGGGGTTGGGGAGGTGTTGCCCCGTGTGGGGTGTGTTCTTAGGCAGGGTTTACCCTTTGAGCCTCAGTTTGGTTTTTGGTGAGATAGGGGTGCTAACGCCTACCTCGTGTGGTGGTTTGAAGGTTAAGTGATAATATGTAAAAAGCTCTTCTAATTCTTGACATACATACAGGCTTATAATAATTTGTCTTTCTCTTACCTTTTCCCCTAATGTCATCCTTAAGAGGCTTAAAAATGTTGCTTTAAACTTACCTAAAGAACTGCAGAAGGATAATTTTTAAAAAAATTTTCTTGTTAATGTAGAAATCAGCTGTTAGCTCAGCCTTCTGGTGTTATCACAAATATCACAATAGGAGGAAGAAAGGGAACGGTAGAGGAAACAGGTCAGTATTTAACATGAAGCAGTCAGAGTATAAGATAATATTTAAATTGTAGCTCTGTGTTTCACAAATTACCTATGATGCCAGCTATATTTTGACACCAATTCTTTGCTTTCTTTTGAACAACAAAGCTTGCTGACCTGACGCAGGACCTGACCATGTCCCAGCTCAGTGATGTGGCAGATTACCTGGAAGACGTTGCTTAGACAGGAAAGAAGGAAGTACCCTAATCAACACAGGACAAAGGACTGTAATCAGTTCCTTTTTTTTTCCCCAGACAATCGCTTTTTGCTGGAATGTCTGCTCCCTGTTGGTGCCTCATGTTTCAGAAAGACTGCAGATTTTTAAAAAATTAACCTTTTGTCATACTAAACAAACTACTTCCTACTTGAGCCCATGTGTGGGAGATTTAATATTCTTAATTTGGTTCAGTTACACATTTCTCTATGGAAATTGATTGTCTGTGATCAGATTCATTACCCAGGGTGGCACCAGTGTTAGGAGTATCATGGAAAGGGTGAGTAAAGCTGGAGGTTCACACAGCTGTGTGTGCACATATGGCTTTAGCCATCCAGAGTCACAGTGCATTTGATACCAGGTGGTTCTGCAGAGAGTCTGCAAATGACTGGGTGCATTTATAGTGCTGACACCTATTACTGTAAATCACATTTGATGTCAATTTTATTTTGTATTTCCTTCCATTTGGAAGGCTTGTCAGACCATTAAGGTTATATTAAACTACTCTTGTGTGTGCTGTCATTTTGCTTGTTTTAATGAAATCTTGAGGTGGTTATGACTTAATTCACCAAGTTGTTAGTGGCAGTGTTTGGGGTTGCTGCCCCTGTGACCTTGTGTGAGGCGCTGGTCACAGGTTCTTGTCACCATAGTTATTGTAAAGCTACCTCAAAACATACTAAATGCTGAAACCCATCTGGAACCGTTAAGCAGTACTCTTATTTCAGATCTGTAAGTTGATGATACTAAAATCCAAATTGGACTGTAACAGTAGTAATGGCCTAAGACCATACACAGTTGGACAAGCTATGCACTGTATGTGGTTCTGTGGCCACCCTTTCAGGTGAGCCTGGAGCAGGGCTTCACAGTCTCCTTCCCCTTGTATCCGCGTGAAGCTCTTTCTGTGGCTACTGACGTGTTGCTGAGGCATCGTGGGTTTTGGAGTGATGCGTGCATGTGCCTGTGAACATAAACTGCTTGTATGTGAAGTGTTGTACTTTAAAATTTTAGTTAATTTATGCTTCTTATGAACAGTTACCTTTATTAATAAAAGGTGCAAATTAGACTTAATTCTTGGTCTCAATAAGTGAGCAGACTTCATGGTTTGTGTAATGCCATTTTTTCATTTCCTATCAGCCCAAGTATTAGAAAAGTATTTGCTGGGCCCTAATATGTAAAGGGAAATGATAATGTAAGCATTAAGATTATATAATGTTAGAGTCTGATTTTATAAAATTTAAATGAAATGGAGCCATAACACTAAGAGAATGTAAGAAAGAAAAAGGGTGAGGAAGTCTGGAAGCAGCTGCTTGTCTGCCCTTGATTTGTGGACCGTGATCTCAGTTGAATTTTTTGTGTTTTATGTGTGTAAATAGCACTGTGTGAATATGGAATCAGTCGCTAAAAGTCCCCCATATGCTTGTTAGAAAATGCACTTAGATGTCATGTCTGTAAACAGTCACTTTCTATAAAGCATTAGAGTTCTGGCCCTCTGGGGTCCAATGAATATGTGATTTATTATCTATATTATTGGATAGCTAGATTTCAATGAAATGGTTTGAAAGTATAACAAGAGGTGGCTTTTTAAACCTGTGGGAACTTGAACAGTATCATTTGAAACTTGTCATTTTTCTGTTATCCAGAGACTCTGACCTTTTGATAATGTCTGGGAAGATGGGGAGAAGAGTGCCAAACATGAGACTTCCTTTGTCATTAGTACTACATACATATGATTGGAAAATTTTAAATAACTTAAGTGATGAAAAAGTTTTATTTCTACATGTGTTTCTACATGCTTAGATTTTTTAATGTGTTTAGTGCTTTCTTTTTGTTAAGAAATACATACTGAAGTATTAACCCATGGAGTACATCTTTATGGTAAACCTGTGTTTCGCAGAGTAGTCGACATGTGCTTGGTCTCACTGATGGTAACCCAAAGGGAATAAAGGCTTTACTCTTACCTGTGGAGCCTGTCTCACAGCCTTTATATTGCACAGTGTGTGACAAGGACCAAGTGCTGCTGTGTGTGTGATGCTCTTGACCCTGTCACAGAGCCTGCCTCCACCATCTCCCCCACCAGACCCCAGCATGTGGGCCTGGCCACCTCCTCGTTGATGTTGGCTCTGTCTTGGGATGGCCACACTTGCCTCCTGATGTCTGCATCTCCCTCTCCCAGAACTTGTCCAGCCAGCTTGTTTTGTCTTGTTTTCCGAGAAGCTCCAGCCCCAGGAGTTCCCATTTTCCCTCCCACCCTGTCTCTCTGTCACCTCCACCCTATGTGTTTTACTCATCACTGAAATGGGCCCATTGACTGTCCATAAGCTCCATTACAGCCGGGATGTTTCCAGCCACTGTGCATCCTTGGTACCTAGAACAGCATTTGGCCCATGTATGTGTTCAGGAAGACTCCATGGTATGCAAACTGGCTCTGAGCACTGGCAAGGAGGCCTGGGAAATGTAGTTTCTGGCTGGGCAGCTGCCTCCCAAGAACACTACCACACAGCTGTGAGGCAACAGCTGTCCTGACTAAACCTGGAGAGGCTCCAACCTCACCGGGGAGAAGTGTGCTCCTGGTTCTGTAAAGGCTGTCATTGGACAGCTGGTCCCTGGCTGCCTGCCCCTTCCGCACCAAGACTAGCTGGAACAGTGCTCTTGATGGAAGTGGACAGTTGTTCTGCCTGGGGCTATGCTGACATAGGAGGGAAGCAGAGCAGGACTCGAGTAGCTGGACAGATGACCCTGCTGGACATGCAAGGAAGGAGAGCTGGAATGGCGACTGTCCTGGCGAAAGCTGAACCCCAGGGAGGCAGAGCAAAGCTGCCTGATCCCCACCTGTGTTCTGCCTACCCCTGCCCTCTTGACATGGTCTGCCCTGCCAGCCTCTATTCTAGGAAGGGGCATAGTTGGTGAAACGAGCAGGGGAAATAAGGGCAGCAACATTTATGACTCACTCATGCAACTTTCAGAACAAAGGAACCCTGAGCTGTCAGGAAAGTGAACAGCATGGTATAAACAGCCGGTTATCTCAGAGGAAACCTAATTCAAACACCAAGATAGTTTAAAAAGAAAAACCTGATTACACTGCTTGAGATTTGAGATAACTTTTACTTAAAAGAGGCTACTATGGAAAAGGTACAATCAAAATGATTTTCGGTTAAAAAAATCATTAGTCTAAGTTCAGTAGAAGTGATCAGATAACTCGAAAAAATTTAGTAACCTTAGCGGTAAAGAACTCTGTGTTTAGTAAAAAGGCAAAGATGAAGACTGAATAGCCTTGAGATGTGGGCTGAGGATCCGTTAAGGACTAGCATCCATGTGCCCTTGGACAAGTCCCTGGGGCAAACGGGCAGACACTGGCAAGGATGTGCATGGGCGCAGCGGCTCCTGGGTGCATATATTCTGTGAAACGGCATTCCTAGCATAAGAAGAAGACTTCCAAGATTACCTAAAATGAAAGAGTGAAATTGCCTGTGTGGGACTGGCTAGAAGTTAGCCACAACTACAAAGTTAGAAGAGGATTTTTGAACCTAGCATATCTGCGCTAATAAGAAAGGAAGCTTCCTGCCAGTAGGAAGTGAATCCCAAAGCGAGGTTAGGTGGGCCTGGCATCTTGCATGTTATCGGGCTTACTCTGCTCCTACAGGGCTTGCTGTCCCTGGTGAAGGTGACCTGTGAATCCTCCCTGCCTTGGCGAAGCCGGCCACGCCTTTCCTGGAGGCGCCTGCAGGCGGGACAGTTGAGCTGGGTAAGGTCTGCCTTCTTCACACAGACCTGCTTCCTGAGAAACGGAGGAGAGGGCAGGGGGTTAGAAAGGGCCAGCAGTGGGGGCTTGGCGGGGCCAGTCTCAGGTGCATTGGGAGGAAGAAAGGCAGGTGGTGGCAACAGGACAGAGGCGTCCAGATGGTGGCTTACGCGATGGTCATTTCTGCTGTTTTAACTTGAGTTGGTTTTTGACGATTTATGAAATCTTCAGATTTGATGGTTATTTTTCCCATTAGTCTTCAATTTTCAAAACTGTAGTTGCTAAAACCAATTTTGGCATGTTTTATAATTTGCCAAATTATGGGATATAGATCTTAATCATACTTGTTTGTAAATCATTTTTAGTTTTATAAAACTGGTAGCTCTTCTGAAATGAAAATTTTTGCCAAGTTCCCTTTTCATTTAAAGCCTTCAGCGTTCCTGTGCTCTCTCACTCCATATGGTGTGTGGTTTTGACTTTGGTAAGATTCTATGCCAACCGCACCGAACTACACAGTCATGGCTTGTTGCCACGTGGTTGCTTTTGCCTGGGACACACCCCCTGCCTCTGCCTGTGCCCCCTCGCTTCCCATCTCATGCATACCTGGGCCGTATGTAGTCTCCTCCCCGAGGCCCAGGTGAGAGGGTATAAATGTCCTCTTCCCTCAGCATACAGGTACTCGTCATCTGCTCGCTTTTGCTGTCTGCACACCTGTTGTGGGGGAAATGTTACCGATATTCCAACATGTTTGACAACTGTTTAGGGTTTGCCGGACACCAGGTACTGTGCCAGGAGCACACACGCATCTCACAGCATCCTGGTCTCTGCCCACAGGGACCAGGGACACATGTTCGCGCTGTGTGCTGGCGGCTGGAGTGTGTGTACTGCCTGCCATGCCTCTTAGGAACAGGGAAGAGAACAAACTTGCACCTTGTGTGGGGACTGGAGAATGTCTGAGATGATCTTTGAACTTTGGGAAGCTGATGAGCTGAGGGATCTGCCCAGGATTGCTGGAATCATGCAGCACAAGGAAGTGTTACCAGCAGGGAGGTGCCGTGCAGGAAGCAGGCATGCAGGAGACTGTGCAGCAGAGCCAAGGCAGGTGCGTTTGAAACCTGCCGGCGTAGCTGCTGGGCAAGTTACTATCAATAGTCAGTTTGCTCATCTGTAGAAGGAGTAAATAACTGATGACCTCATAGGGCTGTTGTGGAAAGCAGATAATGCTTGTGGAACGTTTAGCATTATTCTTGGCAAATAGTACTTAGGGGTATCAACCATTTTTACCGAAAGGGAACAGTCACAGTTTTACTGGAGGCGGGAAGGTCAGCAGGGCCTCAGGGGGCCCAGCTTCCGAGGAGCCTCTGTCCCCCTCCAAGGCCCGGTCCCAATGCTCCTCGGCCTGGGAGCCCGCCTCTCCGTTCTCGGGCTGCCTCCAGCGGGTGGGGCAGGCCCGGCCTGTCCCCTTCGGCCTCTCAGTGCTGTCGGGACCTGGGCTGGTCTTGGGGACGCCACCGCCATGTGGGGGAGACTGGCAGCTCATTAACGAAATGAAAACCACCGAAACTTATCAGCACCGAGGTATGTCATCACAATTCACATTGACTGTGATTTTAACCCCCAGAACGCATTGTTTGGGATTAGAGAATAACTCGGTGCACTCCAGGCCGGCTGGCCGCGGGGGGTTAAGCTTGGGCCCCACGGTGCGCTGCGCTCAGTCCCAACGCCAGGGCCCGGGAGCGGGGAGAGCGCTGACAGGCCCTCCCCAGACACGCTGGACACGGCGACGCGCGAGTTAAACTTTGAATAGAAATGAATAGGCCCTTGTATTATTTGATGATCCATTCAATGAAGAGTGTATATCGTATAAGTGTACAAATACCTCTCTGATTTGACACAAAATATGGGTAATGATAATGTAAAGCTGTAATGTGCTATTATGTTGAAGACATTAATGAAAAACTGCTGAATGTCATAAAAAGAATGATTTCTAAAATGTTTCTAGTCACAAAGAAAATTTGAAATGCCATAAATCATAAACTTCTATGTGAAAACTAAACTTGAAAAAAGTTTCCAATATGTGGTGATTCTAAAACTTACCTATTTCCAAAAGTGAATTGTAAAGATCGATGATACTCATAAAATATATCAATAATTAAAAAACCATTTTGATCAGTCATTCCAGAGAAGAATTATCTTCACAGAAAGATATTTTTAAAAAGTCATTGTGATATGAAGAGGTGATATCAGAAAGTACACCATGAAAGTGATGGAGGAAGGGTGTGTTGATGTCTTGTTGGCTAATAAAAGTGTTGTGTGATTTTCCTACATTTTGTGATGTTTGGTATTTGTAAGTTTTTTAAAATTTACAATTTGTGGGGATTTTGTTTCTTAAGGTATTTACATTTATAGCTAATTTTGTGTAAGTAATTAGTAGCCCTTTTCTAAAAGAATATTCCCCCCAGTGTTACAGGCTTCAGGCCCCATGAACAAGGCCCTGCCCATGTCAACCAATGGGGTCTCCAGACAGGGAAGCAGTGGGGATGGAAAACCAGCTCAAGTCTGTCACCAAGTAGCACTGGTCCTTGGAAATATGTACGAGTCTGAAATCCGAGCAGATCCTGTGCCTCAAATAATTTAGGAATATGAAAGTTGAAGATCCTGCAGACCTTTGCTGGAAAGCTCTGCACCTTCCAGTATCCTCCTCCACCGCCCGCAAACCTTCCTCGCAGCCCATTGGCAGCACTCCCAAACGGCGCCGCCCACTGCACGGAGGGCCATCCCGGGAGGGGGAAGGAGACCGGAAGTACTGGTTAGAACTCAGTGTTTACCACAGGAGGGTACTTCCATTGCAGGAAATCACCGTGAATCCTTACAGAAATGGCCCTGGGTGACCAGACTGAACATATTTGGATACAAGTCTTCATCAGATGTGTATTTCGCAAGTATTTCCTCCCAGTCTGTGGCTTGTCATTTCATCATCAGTCTTCCTCAAGAGAAGACGTTTCAAATTTTGAATCAAATCTGCCTTCCATGGATTGGGCTTCTGGTGGCATATCCGGAAACTTGACCAAACCCAAAGGTCACCTAAAGTCTTCTCAGTTTTTTTTCTAGATCTTTTGTAGTTTTGTGCTTTACATTGGCTCTATGCTATGTTTCTAGTTAATTTTTAGGGAAAGCCAAAGGTCTGTGTCTAGGTTTATTTTTAACGGGTGTCCAGATGCAGCACCAGCCTATGAAGGAGACCATCCTTCTCCCTGCACTGCCTTTGCCCCGCGTCATGGAGCAGCCACCTGCATCATGTTTCACACATACAAAGACCCCTCCGAAGGGTCTCTTAGCCACAAGACTGTTAGTACGAATCAGAGAAATTTAAGGAAAGTATTTTCATTTGTTGCTACCATGCCTTTTTAAAGATGATTTGCATTGGGCACTGTTAATACCATAATTATCATTCATAATAATAGGCAAAAGCAAGCTATGATTAGAACTTTTACAGTTTGTAGAGTGTTCTCCATGAGAAAGTAATTTCCATAAAACCTTGGTTTCAGTTATGGCTGTGTCCGTATTTCCATGATGAACGTCACTCTGCTTCATGCTCCCAGCAGCCCGGTGGGAGGTACTCCCATTTTACAGAGAAGGGTGTGTAAGGTTGCAAAGTTGGGACTTGGGCCGATCGTAGGGCATCTGTGTGCTAACAGCTGGGATGAAGTTCAGACGCAGGTGATGGAGAATCAGGCATCACTCACTTCATACGGACCTAATAGGAATTGCATAAACGTTTTGGTTGAAATAGGTATAATAGCCTAGAATTGATTCTGATGGTGGTGAGGCCAGAAATGGACATGGCCTTGGTAAATTTTCAGTGTCCACATTTGTCCTGGAAGAAGACAACGGGCTTTCTGGGGCATGGACAGATTCTTCTTAGAGCGAGAACCATACCGGTGGGCAGGGTGCAAGGACAGGACGGAGGAGAGCCTCCAGGCAGCGCCGGTACCGTGGACCACCCCGAATCCGCGGTGACCAACCGGAAAGAGAAAGGTGAGCTGTGCTGTGCTGCTCACATGGGCTGCTCCCACCAGGTGGGGCTCCCGACCGACAGGACTGCCACGAGCCCCACGGTCCCGACCTCAGCCTCTGCTCACGGGCCCCTTACCACTGGGTCAGTCACAGAAGCTTCCTGGGAGGAAATATTCCCAGCTGCAGTGGTGTGGACAAAATAATCTCATCTTGTGAGGTACTTGCTTCGGGGTGTCCAATCCAGCAGGTGTCCCCAGCCCAGCTCTGAGGATGCTGGATCCGAGTGCAGGTCAGTGGGATGTTTGGATACACGCTGATTGGGTTATGTCTGTAGGCAATGCCTACTCCCTCAGTGATGTCAAAGAAATGAGTTGAAGGTCTTCATAGTTGTCAGGGTTTATTTATGTACTGAAAAAGTGAAATCTTAAGTCCTGTGAAGCATTTCAAATATCTCACTAATGGTGGAAGTCTGTGAGATTGAATGCAGAACCACAGAGGCAAACTTTCCCAAGGCCTAACTGCCAGGATCCCTGACTTGTCTGGTGTCACGGCACTGTTTAATATGCCATCTGTCCTCAATTCTAACCTGCATAATATGTTTGCATTGCTTGCATAGAGACTCACTCCTCCTCAACCCTGTGGGCTTTAAGAAGCATTAACATTTAGGCCCCTGTAGAATGCACACCGAATAGGAGGCTTTGCAGATTATCTTGCTCTCTCCCCAGTGTAGCTGAATTTTCCACTGTGGTTTGGCTTCTGTGGTTTCAGAAATAATGTGTATGCTCAGAGTGTGTTCTGTTATGTAATAGCAACCCTACTGTGGACGTCCTTGTCCACCATCCTCTATTCAGCCACGCTCGCACACGCCAAAACCCTTGTCAGTATGACTACTCAGGCTCAGAGTTGCACCCATTAACTGAACTTTCTCTCGAAATGAGAGATTTGTGAACTTCATTTCCCAAGTGAAAAGATTGAAAACCTACTTAAAATGCAAACTGATCACTGTAAGGAATGCCTGTTCTTTCTTTAATGATTTAGGGTTTTCACTCTGAGGATCATCCTAATGTCAGTTACTGTTAGTCCCTCAGTTCTTGCCAGGGGCAGCAGAAAAAACACTGCGTTAGGCATCCGAACACTACCATTTTCCAGCTGTTCCCTTGGTTGCGACCTTTGGAGTTGCCCTGCAGAGGCTGCCGAGGACGGGGGAGCCCGGGCCCCAGGATATCCAGTGGAGACACTTGCCCTACCCCTGAAAGCTGATAGATGATTGGATTTTTATGAATGAGAAATAAATTTCTAGAGTGTTAGGTCACAGATACACCCAGACTACCTATTTTCTTCTATTTCACCACCCTGCTTGTTTCTTTTAAAACCCTTGCCACCATTAAAAATCACTGGGTCTTTCTGTCCATTTCTCTCCTCAATAATAAACCCCACAATGACAGGGGATAAGGGATATTTATCTTGTTGATCTTCATATTTCCAGTGTGGTCCAGTGCCTAGCATCTAAAAGGCATTCGATAATTTTGAAGAAAAACTAAGATAAATTTGAAGAGTAATTTTGTGTGTTTTAAGAATGATGGGATGGCAAAGTGAAAATTGTTGGGTTAGGGTAATGGATTTGAATTGGGATTTTAAGTTAACATATCTAGTGTTACAGTGTTACGTGTTTTCAAAAGGGAAAAATAATCTCAATTTAAAAACAAAAAGGTCATTGTGACCCAGGTGTTAATTCTCTAATCTTCAGTCAAAAGGTATCAGATGCGAGGAAAGGTGTGGTTTAGTGACTGAATAGAAACCATCTGGTTCTGGCTCAGAGCCTGGGACGTGGGACACCCAGGAGTCAGAGGGGCAGGTGGCCCCCACTTGTCTGTGCCCAGCCCCTCAGCAGCGGCAGAGGCTCACAGCCGCCTCTGCTCTGTGGGAGGGGTGGGGGCTGGGGGAGAAGCCGCCTCTCTACTGGGAGGAGACGAGGCTCCAAGGGGCGGGACAAGCCTGTGGGAGACTTCGTCTCAGTTTCTGCTTCTGCAGCTTAGCTCTGGATGCAGGCGCCATCAAAGGGGGAGAGTGCTGATGTGGGTGATCAAAGCCAGAGCCGGCTGCCAGGAGGCAGAAAATGCTAGCGGCTTGCAAAGGGGCAGGAAGCCAGAAAAGTGACCCCATAACAGTGTTGATGAACCTTGGGCAGACCTGAGCTGTGCATGCATGAGTCTGACCCTACACCACATTCCCTAGGCTTTGAGGGCTCAGCTACAGGGTAAGTTACTCCCTGAGCCTGATCAGCCCCTGGAGGCCATATTCACAGGACAGATCTAAAGAGCAGAGCAGAGGCTTTGAAAATGGATCCAGCTCTGGAAAGCCCATGGAAGGCTTGTAGGAACTTGGAGCTGGAACACACTGTATAGATTGCCTTGTAAAAAAACAATAACATGCTTCATGGAACTGAGGCAAGATTCAGAAGCTTATAGCATTCAAATATCTCAGATACAATCCAAAATTACACTGCATACAAAGAACTATGAAAATCTCAACTTGCACAGGAAAAGACATTTGCACATACTGGATGACATAGATGATGGAATTATCAGACTAAGACTTTACAATAGCTACTATAATAATGCTCCTTGAAATGAGCAGAAAGATGGAAATTAGAAGCAAAGGAACAGAACACATCAAGAATTAAGTGGAAATCAGAACTGAAAAATTCAAAGTTGGTAAAAGACTCACTGGCAGAACCAAGATGATGGAGGAATGAGTCAGTGAACTTGAAGACTAATCAACAAAATTATCTAACTTGAACAACAGAGAGAAAAAAACCTGAAAAACAAAAAACAACCCCCAAAGGGCTAACATTTGTATCATTGGAATTCCAGAAAGAGATGAGAAAGAATGACTACAGAAAAAAACATTTGCTTCCATGCAGCAGAGGAAACGTCTAACAAAATGAAAAGGTGATTTACTGAATGAGGGGAAATATTTGCAAATAATGTATCTGACAAGGGGCTACATATCCAAAATATATAAAGAACTCATACAACTCAATAGCAAAACAAACAATCTAATTAAAAAACAGGCAGAAGATCTGAATAGATATTTTTCCAAAGAAGACAGACAGATGGCCAATAGGTACAAAAAAGGATGCTCCACATCATTAATCACCAGGGAAATGCAAATCAAAACTACAGTGAGATATCACGTCACACCAGAGTGACCACTATACAAAAGACAAGAAATAACAAGTGTTGACAAGGATGTGGAGCAAAGGGAATCCATTTACATTGTGGGAATATAAGTTGATGCAGCCACTA